GTTTTGTTTGATTATTAAAGTTCCTAACATAAGTCTTATTGAAATAAATAATTTGAATAACAAAATAAAAATATAAAATGAATAAAAAAATTAACATTTCTAAATACAAGAATCACTTAATAAATAGCAAGGTCTAAGCTTTTGGCCATTAGAGTTTCATTTCTAGCATACAAAGTCTAACATTTGCTCAAAGCAAATTCATTTCGAAATAATATTTATTTAAGGGTAATAGAAACGCGAGTATGAATGCTACTTAGAGGTGCTAAATCTAAAAATCCATATTGTTGTGACTGAAATTGAAATTGTTATTATGTATTCGACTAGTGTGTTAGTTGAAAATTAATTCAATTTGAATGCTACTAACTCGAACGTCAGCTTATGTTTGAATGAGGAATGCACTCATATTATCGCAGTTGAAAATCTGTGAGTGTGTGTGCAAAGTGACTTGTTCCGTTTACTCAGTCATTTCACCTACTTTAGTTGGAAATGTCCTGACTAGTTTGTGTTTTGATACATTCCGTTTTTGTAGGAGTTTGTCGTTGTTTATATTGCCGGGCTTAATTACACTTTCAACACTACATAGCATTAAAATACCTAAGCTTCCCTGCACTGTGGTTTCATCTCCAGTATCTTTGGACCCAGCAAATCTCTAATAAATAATTGGATCTCTGAATCTCCTGTTTATTTTCTAAATCTCGTAATCCAATGGTTCATCCTAAATCCGACCACTTTGTGTCCGACCCAATTTCATTTACTTATATGATTACAATGTGCAGCAACTCATTACGTAAGCATTAAAAGAATGATATGCTGGAATTGTTCTCAAGGACATTGAACTTCATTTGTTCGTAATTTCATACTAATATTAAAAATGTAAAAGTTTGTGAGGATGTTTATTATTCCTTCATGCAAAAATAGACAACAGATTTGGATGAAATTTGTATTTGATGCCCTGAATTAACAGGTTTTTCTCTAAACTAGCTGTTTTAATAATGGTAAGCGTGGTTCGGTGATCTCAGGTGTGATTATCAAACCAGAAACCGAATTAACGTCTTCAACATGTTCGCATTTTAATCTATACTTATATTTTAAAGAGATAAAATTTTCTAAGTTTTTATGTAGGCGATAATCTTAGGAACCGCTGCCTGGTCAGATTTCGAAAAGTCTTTCACTGATCCATAGCGCATCTACAATTTTGCTAAGCCTTATAGGCTATAAATTATACGATTTGCGTATTTTAGTCGAGTCGAGTAATCGCTTTAAACGCTGCTGTTTTCAAAAGGCCGGGATGCCTTACGCGCGAAAGAAGCCTCAGTCGGAAAATAGTTATATGTTCATATACATATATGTAGAACTTGTATTATTTATCATCTATACTAATATTATAAAGAGGCAAAATTTTTAAGCTTGTAAGTTTGTATGTAGGGGTAATCTTTGGCACCGCTGGTCGAATTGCCAAAATTCTTTCACCGATAGATAGCTACAATATAATATTCCTAAGTGCTATAGGCTATAAAACATCACGCTACGATCAAACGGAGCTGAGCAGCGGGGGAAACCGCGCGAGAGTAGCTAATGTAAGTATAAACTTGTAGAGAAATAAGACAGTCACAAAAAATCCAAACACAGTCCGTAACAACAAGCTTTACTGCACTGAATGGTTCACGAGATCCACCATTTTGATTTACATTACCGATCCCATTTATTCTCTAAATTGAACTCTGTGTGAATATACATACGACTGTAATTAGCACATAGCATCTCGTGAAGCTAACGGAATACTAAATTTTATGTTTGTCACGTGTCTCCATGAAAAATTTAGAAGTTGACGACTAGTAGTAGTAAGTAAATAAAAATCTATGTAGAAATAAAAAACGAGAAAAACCGATAAAGCAATATCATTTATAAGGAAAGATTCCACTTAGCATAATATAACTGAGTGTTTATTATGTTTTCTCTGTAGCGAGATTATAACTAATATTACTTTCCTTTGATGCTATTCGCCACAAGGTCATTCCTTGCATATAACACTAACAGCATCATAGCGTAGCTAATTATTTTTCTTTCTAGTAAAATCTTGGTAAAGAATGTACATTGAATTAAAATAGTTTCAAGTCCAAGTTCGCTATTATTACTAAGGTCAGAATTGTTGTTCCGCATTACATTTATATATTCAAGGCCATTAAGAACTTATTTTAGAAATACTTCTCTATGATAGACTTAAAATTTACGGAGATTCCGCTTATCGACCTTCTAACTCCTTTTTTTTACTAGATGTAAGACTAAATGATATACAAATCTACTACTAAATTGACTACACAAAACCTGCACTGTCTAAAAATTTGCTATTATATACAAGTTTTTTTTAATGTAATATCGGCAAACGAGCAGACGGATTACCTGATGGTAAGTAATCAGCGCCGCCCATGGACATCCGCAGCGTAGGAGTTACGCGTGCGTTGCCGACATTTTAAGGATTAGGGATTTGGAGATTTAGGGATTGAGGAGGGATTGGGGGTGGGGAAGGATTGGGCCTCCGGTAACCTCACTCACACGGTGAAACACAACGCTGTGGTTGTTTCACGCCGGTTTTCTGTGAGGCCGTGGTATCACTCCGATCGAGCCGACCCATTCGTGCCGAAGCATGGCTCTCCAACACTAAAAGTTAACTTAAGTTTATATATTAGTGACGGTTTTATTCCTTGTCACTGATGAAACAGTTTATAATTTTGATAAATTTGCAATTTACAAAGCAAGAACTACACTACTACTATTTTTGGGTTATTCTGGATTATAATATATCTCTCTTTCCAATATCAGATTCGTTTATTATGTGAAAAAGAAACAATAATCCATCCATCCTGACACACTTAGGTCCTTATTAAATTAGTCGGATTTATTTCTACTGACTGTTATATTTACAAGGGTACTTTTAAAACTGTCAGTGCGTGCATCAGTGAAAAATCTACGTATTGCAACGCTTTAGGAGCCCTATCCTTAAACTAGTCGAGCAACTCATATAAGCCTATAAGTGCCCACTGCTGCGCAAAAGCCTCTTCTCAAACGGAGAAGGTTTTAGCATGCATCACATAGCTTGATCAAATGGATTGGAGATTTCAAACTTACTATTAGAAATTATACGTTTAAGTAAATTATAAGTTTAGGTTTTTAAAGTAGGCGTCGAGTTCGACACTCTTAATCAATATTTTTACTATCAACATGTTTTAAATTATCTCCTTCCGTTGTGATAGTAGACAAATTCTTTCTCGAGCCTGCTAGTGTAGAGTGCATTCATAGCTATTTCTCTTGAGATGCATAAACTCGAGCCATATATTTATACTTATCCTTTTATTTATTTGCAATATGACAGAAAAATTTCTACATTTTTCAAATTATTTTATCTCGATTCTCACTGGAACTGTAAATATGTTCTAATAAAAAGTAAAGTATTATGTAGACGTGCCCAGTTCTCATGGGTCTGAACTGGTAACTTACAAAATCCATTAAATAATTTAACACATTGTAAATATAATAAAATACATATTGTTATAAATTTTAATTCGATTATTTGAATTCAAAATACAAATGGAATATATATTTCAGCGCAGCACACAATACATAGCATAGTCGAGCAGCAGTGGCGGCGATATGACAGAAAAAAGCATGCAATTTGACCAGGCCTATGGCATATTGCTTTGTAGTCATAGGTGACAATATTTCACACAATTTTTTAGGTCACCAGAAACGTATGACTGTATTGTTTGATGAACGACAGCGCGGGCAGTTCACAAAGATTATTGGACATTTTAAAGCTCTTGTCAATTTTGTTAAACGTTAACATATGACTGATGCATACGACAAATGTTCTACAACAGAAGAGGTTAACATTTTACAAGTTAAAATTCAGGTAATTTACTCACTATAACCAATTATTATCAAAAAGTTAGCTCCTTAGCAGATTATAAATATATAGTTTAGTATGGTCAGCTGTACCTGCCTACTAAGCTAAATTTATACCCACTCATTCTACGCAACTTTATATTAAGCCCAGTAGCAAGGTGTCCTTCTGTAGTAATTTCTTGTTGTATCTTCGTAAGCTAATAAAAACTAATCAGTTCGCAAATCCAGGATTTTGTTACGTTTCAATTAGGCTTAGTACAAATGATGCAGATTACTTTGAGATTATAACGGTCTACCAATTTAATTTCGTTAGAAACGGATGCTCGTACGCCCTTATTATACGTAGGGTCCATCAATTTTAATAATAAAACCGTAATACTTGGCTATTTGGCCACGTTCTAATTTATACGGCCAGCAATACAAATAGCTACAATGTATTTACTATGATAGTTTATTATTACTGAAGGATTTATGTTCTATCCTATTCAAAATATTTTATAAGGCGGGAATATGTATGTAGCTTAAACTATCGCTTTGTTTTATTGTCATGTTTACAGCTCATTCTTATACTTAGGTATAGTTTCTTTATAGGCTTTCAGGTTAAGTTATAAGCCTTTTATTCTTAACAATCAAAGTACCATTCTCTATCGTACTTGAATTAAAACATAACAACAAAAGTAAATGTGATACTTTAAATGAGTACGAAATATCACTGAATAGATTTCTCTTAGAGAATCTTGTGTCTAAGCTCCTTATCGCGAAGAAGCCGAGAGACTTTAAAGGTCACGTGTGAATATAAAAGCATTGGAAGAAGGAAAATCAAAAGCATCTCATCCATTCAGTTTATGCACCACGAGCCGTATAAAGCCCTACTCATACTTTGTTTTCAATGTCAGTTTGTCAAAGACTACAACAAAGGCAAAACTAAAGTTAATATTCTTTTAAAGTGTATATTCTTTTTGATACTTACATCTAGGTACATGTACTTTAAAAGAAATATTTTGATTTGAAAATTAAAGTACTTTTCATATTAAATTATTGAAGTCAACCGGACAAATATATAATGTTTCACGAAATTAAAATAAAACAAGAATATTTACCTGCAGCAGTCCGTAACGCAGCTCAATATCCAGGAAGAAGTACTCCTTGGCGTGGGGTGGAAGATGAGGAGTAGAATTCAAGATCTGCTGTTGAGCGCTAGGTGGACCCAAAGTTATGGGATGCGGCATTATTGGAGGTGCATGTCCGGGTAACACGTTGCACTCCTACAAAAAAGTCACATGTTAGTATATTTCATTTGTGTATAATGTATGTTAATAAAACAAGCTTTGGAATTAAGTTTCGATTTCTACGATACTGCGTAGCGAAGTGCTACGTTAAGTGAACGTTAAGCGTAGCCATGGGCTACGCTTTTTGTAGCAAATATTTTTGATCATGAATGGGTGAAAATATGTATAAAAAAATGTTAAAACAAGTTTAAGTTTCTAATCAAAAGTTATGTTGCAGATGATTTGAAGTTAAAAATAATTTTATGTGAAAATAAAAAAAAAACCTTGCATTTGTATGAACAAATGCTGTGTGATACAATAGTTAAATCATTTGTTTTAACTATTTATTTGTTTTAATTGGCATACTGCTTTATTGGTTGAGAGGTTGCAATGCGAAAGTCAAAGTAAGGGGTCAAGACAGAATAAGCTCCCTACATATTGCATGAGACTTATATTATCACTGGTGAAAAATAGGCGTTCCTTACATTTAATATGTCTGTGTACCTTTGCTATGACAAAAAGGATACGCGGTGTTATGTACGTAAAATACAAGGTATTAAGTTAAATTTACGCGACCCAAAAGTAGAAGCTAAGTCTATATCGTTATTTTAGAACGTAGCCATGTGACGCGGGTAGGCATCGTCACCAGAGCGTGGTGCGCACGTTTAATGAACCACAGATTAATGATATAAGTGATGTGGTCGGTTCGTAATTACGTAAGTGTGTGTGGCTTACAGATGTTGCTGCTCCAGCTACGTAAACCACCAAAGCAGGACAATAACCGTAATCACACTGATGACGTCATTAAAGTAGATAGAGCAAAAACGTTTATTTAAATTTGAAGAACAAAAGATTATTCTTGAAACCAACTACGAAAGCACCTTGCATTTATGTAGAGCATTTATTAAGAGATACTTGCCAATTTGTAAATGAATGGTAACGTTGTCTACTATCGAATTTTTAGTATGCAACCTGAACACACCATGCCTATAGTGAGGCCAAAAACATACACATTTATTAATCCCATAATTATATTGTTTTTATTTATCATTGTTAGAACAGTACTTGCAGAAACCGAATTAATTAATATATACACTTTTTTAAAGCCTAATAAAACTTCTTTTTTATGTGATATGATGGTCAAATCATTGTCACCCATGAACACCCGCAACAACAATGGAGTTACGACTGCGTTGCCGACATTTTAGGGATTAAGGATATGTAGATTTTTCTGGGGGTGGGGAAGGATTGGGCCTCCGGTAATCTCACTCACACGGCGAAACGCAACTTTAGTATTGCTCCACGCCGATTTTCTGTGAGGCCGTGGTATAGACCCGGTCGAGCCGACCCATACGTGCCGAAGCATGACTCTTCCACACTTGAATTACTTCTAGCCCAATCTAACTCTATTATTTGAAATCATGAATTCGTGTGCTAAGTATATTCTATTAACTAGCAGTCACTATACAAACCTTCTAGTCAGTACACGAACCAACGATAAATTCAATTCAAGTGAAGTGATTGGAATTTTAGACGGACGCAAAAGCAATTGTTAGTGGATACGGAACGCCATACGGAAACTCTTAGTGACGAACAATTTGCCGATGGAAGGTGTATTGAAAGACTGATTTCTATAGAGTACAGATCTAAGCGTTAACGTTTCACCACGATGATGTATTAAAATACGATAACGTTGGATTTAAAAAAAAGTATTTTGAGATTTTTAACAATTTTTGACACCATGATCGATGCTATAAAATGTCGTTTATAAAAGTTATAGAATCTATTAGTTCGTATTTATTGTATTAAATTAAAAATCTTATTAATTTGTGGATGATTTTATAAATTTAATTTTAATAAAATTTTACCAAATTCGATTTTTAAACTATGTAGGAAAATCGGATTTGATTGAATATTTGAGAATTTATTCATGAAATATCTTACCTTGAAGAAGTAAATGGAATGTGAATTAAATTGTTGAGGTCAGGGTAATAACAGGGTTATCTATTGTGATGGCGGCGACCCCTGTCATTCCAATTTGCTAGTCCTTTTTGTAGCAATTATTATAAAGATTGTATGTACATGAAGCAAGTTCTATTTTTATGCAACATTAACGTCTGCAATATTGCAAACTATTACCAACAACCTGCAGTATAGCAGTTTCACCTTGGTTAATTGTAAGTAAATATAAATTTTTAGTACGGCCATGAGCAATACGGCTCCATTAAAAATTGTGCCTGCTATAAAGCACTATCAGCAATATTCTCAGCTCAGATATTCAGAATACTTTTTTATCATCATTGTGGCACTGCGAGTCTACCTTAAAAAGAGGTGGTTCTTAATTTCCAATAACTAGACTACTGATTTGCCAATTTCATCTGTAATGCTATTAAGTAAAATCACATTTTCATCAAAACTCTCTGGCTGATTAATGACGTTTTTTAAATTAGCTCATCCTATTTTAAGGAGGCAATTTTCAAACTCGTTAGTTACTTTATGTGACTATCGTAAACGTTACATCATATACTATTATGGCTTTTAGTCATTTATTTTTTCAATTGGTATTAATACGAATTAACGCGAGACGAGAATTGATAAGGCACAATTGATATTTGTCGTGAATGAACGAAGCCATTAATAGCCTAAACGCTAAGATATATACAACCTAACTGCTTGGTTAATTCAAAACTACATGCACCACATAAAAAATTGTTCCTCCTTTAAAGTCTTATTACTATGTAAACTAATACGATACAAAGTTTTGGGAAATAATATTAAAATTTTATTACCATGTTTAAAAAAAAGTTATTACGAAGAATGCGGTCAAGATTTACCGATATACATACAGAAAAGTATTCCATAGTATGTAATTTTTTTATTTGACGTTCACTTAAATAAAAGTGATTGTTAAGTTTAGAATTCACAAAATTTTTGGGGTCGCTTACTTATAGAATTTTGTTAGAAAACAATAGGTATCCACCACAACTTTACCTCCACCTATTTGGTAATAAAATTCATGAATTACATAGTATTAAAATATTTTTTAAAGCATTCTTATCGAGCTCAAAGTTCCTTCTTAAGAATCAAGGTTAGGTACAACAGGTTTCATTTTATGTAGGAAAACCGAAGTCTCAAGCAGGGCCGCGGGCTGAGCTAGTAACAAAGCCACAAAGGAAAATTAGGTGCCTTTATCTTGAGAGACTGAAGGTAGGTATACCTTGTTTATGAGTACAATTTTATTTATTTAAAAATCGTTCGTGATACGTGGTCAAGCTATGTCTATGTGATTAACTTCTTAAAAAAAACCTTCAGTCATTTATCCATATGCTAGAGTGTACTTTTGAATTCTTAAAAGACTTTGGATGAATGTAAATGAAGTTCCTATGGTCGGACTACGCTCTTTATAAGATACGGGTTGCAAATATTATTCATCAAGTTCACGAAGCGAGGGAAATAATTTCAATTTGTTAATGATGTAGTCTTATGGTTGCGGTTAAAAGAAACGTTTGAGGTATTGCAGTTGGATTTGAAGAAATATTTTAAATACGTAATGAACATATATGATGTGATACGTACGTAACGTATCATAGTAATTTACTAGATTAAAATATTGTCTTGTATTGAAGTTCAATTTTATATACCTATTGTTTTCCCATTATAATGTATTTAAGTTTGGCCAATAGTGTTTTTAACACTAAACTTGGTAAGGTAAACAAATACGTAATAAATACCTGATACTTAAATCGTATTAATATATACTATACATAATACTTAAATCGACGTAATTGAATAATATTGGTTTTAAACTTAATGAATGCAGACACTATTTCATCGACGGCTATAGAAATATTTTGCCATTTATAAACCAACAAAAACAATTGTAAACAACTGTTTGTTACCTGTTAACCTTGTTTGCAAGGTTTGTGTCACTGTTCTTGGTTCACTGGTGGGATAATAATTGAACCTTTCAGAATATAATAAATTATTACGTAATTTAATTTCCAACGTATATGTAAAGGTACTAGGATCCCATACAATCACAGGTGGTCGCTGACAGTGTAAGTCCCTCGGGAAAGCAGTGTTGTCACCATTTATCGCGCGCTCCAGTCGCAAGGAATAACAATTTTTTTTACTCGATCCAATAAATCAATCTGAGCGACAAGCGTTAAGTCTCAACCGTTTCGCTTTTATAAAAATACGTTTTTTTAATTTATCAACATTAAGTTTAGTGATTTGTTGAATAAACAGATTTAGGAACTCAAATTTAGTATTGTTTTTATTTATAGCATTGAAACTTTTTGATTTAATAGGTATTACAAAAAAGGTGAAATGTCGTCATAGCCTCATTAGTTATTTTATCAAAATAGTTGAATGAATTTCTTATTTTATATTAAACAATAACCCTTTTTGAAATGACATTATAAAAGTAATGATTTGCTCTTCTGCCAGAGAATTTGCATATTAGGACAAACCCAAGCTTAATTCGTGTTTGGTTGTGCATTATGTAATTCTGTTGTTTTTTGTTAGGGCCGCAAGAAGCAATATTTGATTGCGGCTCCGGCCCGGAGCAAGTGAAAGAATCGAGGTGGGTTTCATTCAGTAAGGGTCGTGTACATTTCGCACCACACAAGCAGGATTTGACGATTTTCCTTCCTCAAAAACTTACGAAATAGAATGAAAAATATAGTTTAGTGTAGTACAAAAAACTTTCGTATCAAATAATATTAAAAACAGTATCAAAATATTCACTTACAAACAAAATATGCAAAGCTGACCAAATAAGCGGTATTTATCATTAAATTTCTCATCGACGCGAACTACATATTTCGTATGCTGAACGGTCGCAATGGCTTTTATTTTATTTCTGCTGCACCGTTCAAATACCGGAGTTCCGGGACGAAATTGAAAATACGATGGCGTCGGTCGGTGTTATTTCTAAATCAATGGCAAATATCGCAATGAGATTGAAATAATGTCGATATCGTAAAATTTATAGA